TTCGCCGATTATCCTCGTTGGGAACGGCTGGCTGTTATTAACCTATTACGGTCGATGAGGAGAAGCTCCACCACAAATAGGTGCCGACGAAACGGGAGAAGCACTGCTCACCCAGCAGTAAACATCTAAGCGGTAACGGTGACGGTTGCAATGTTTCCGATGAATAAAAGGGAAGAAAAGCGGGGAAGAGTATGTAGACAAGAAAGTTTTCTCTCTTTCTTCATTTTTTCTAACAAGCGAAGGATCCCAGATTGCAGTGACGAACCGAAATGATATGCATATCATCAAATGGGCCTTGACGGGCTGATTCCAAATCTAACTTCCAAATCTGCTAAGCTCTTCTTTAAAAGAAGTTGTTTGCGTTTGATCCCCAAATTTGGAAACATCCAGTGCCACATCTTCAAGAACTTGTTCAAAAACACTTATTTATGTGTTTGATGTATGTACATATGTATTGCTTGTGGTCAATGCACTCGAAACCATGCCAATTAATCACTCTCAAGCTGGTTTTCAAAGCTCATTACGCATCAAAACTCCGATAACTTCATATCTTACCGTCCATAGCCTCTTCTAGAGAAGCGCTTAACAGATAGGAAAGGTAGATTTGGAATTAGCTCATCACGCATTTAATGATATGTATACCATTTCGGTTCCGCACTGCGACGTGGTACTCTTCCCTACTAAGAGTTGTTTGTATCATACCAGCAATGAAGCAAAATGTGCAATTTGAAATTTGAACCAAAATTCGAAACACAACCGATGAATTATGAGCATCTGCCAATTACAAATGGAATTGCGTATGCTTAAACACAAAATAATCTCTTCACCAACGCACGGTTGAATGTAATAACAAACATCCTTAGCTTGGATGCTTGATGACAACTTGGATTGAGCAAGGACTGCACTGCGCATAATTCCTACTCAACAAATGCCACTGCTCACTATGGAGCAGCTTAATGTCTTCAAGTCAGGTGGAAAAGATCAAGAACACAAAATGACTAGGTGATTATTGTCTATTGTGAAGCTTGAGTGGGTAACCTTGCCTGCAAAAAAGTGGTCTTCGAAACTATGATTCAAGGCTAACATGCTTTCATTGCAAAAAAGCTGGACTTAGCAGCTTTCTGAATGAAACAGTCCAAAATCTAGAATCTAGCTGATTACGAATGATAGCGAATTTCCTCAGAATTAGACAAGAAAGTCCTCCAAGTCATGCAATGAGGAGTGCGACTTTAACATGCGGGGGAGCTAAGGCATAAATGTCTTCTAGAAAAGGTACTACCCGCAGTGTTGCATCACTCTATTTCAGCTATTTAGTGCATTCTTTAGCGTCGCCCTTATCCTGACTCCTAAGCAGAGCAATAGAACAAACCTTATGTATGTGTGATTCCAGCGGATTAACAGGATAAATGTCTACAGAGCTCGTCCTTATTGACACATGTTGCGCAGGTGCCAAATGACACTGACAGCCGTGGGATTTACTGCCGTTCGGGTCGAATTTCTTGTCGAGTAGATTACGGTAGGTGATGATGGCACGAGAGAGTATCAGAAAATGTCAGATACTCGAGGAATCAAAGGCAATGTCATAGGACGAACATTCGAAGATTCTTGTGGGGAAGTTACATTGAGGGCTGCTTCGAGCTGGTTCACAAATTTATGATGATCAATTTGAGCTTTAGAAAACTTAATATTCTCTGGTAGTTTTTCTCTTCATAGTCTTCCAGTTTTTCTGACGTTCAAGTAAAAAACCTGGAATTGTCACTGCAAGGAGAAATCTATTGGTTTGATAGAAAGAATTACTTGTCATTTCTACTTCCTCTGTGATGCATAACATCGAAGGCGCTGCGTACTGTACTGCAATAATGCAAAAGTTAATTAATAAATAGTAAGATTCGCTATGTTCTTATAAGGAACAATGAGGAAAAGTACGTAGATTCAGAATCTTTGAAGCAGATGCGTATTGGGGAGAATGTAACAATATCCATATGACCTCAAAGAGGTGTAAAATGAGACATTGCAAGTATTCGTTGTCTTCACGCGATGAAGATTAGCTACCGGATGCGCTTCTTTACCCTACCGCCGTGTAAATAATCATTGCAACAATAACCATACTCCTTTGAGGATGCCGCAGTGTACCGATGCTGCGTAGTAGCTAAAGATTTAGGACAGAGTTATTGAAGCAAATGCCCATTTTCAGCTAAAAAAATCGCTCAGTTAGAGTTCAGGAGGACGAGTACAGTATTGCTCTGAATTCGGCTATTCAGAGTCCTCGCTCGTACGGGAAAATTTGCTTATCTTTGTTATGATTTTGCAGCTGAAGGTTCTACCCGCTATGCCTCATCTTTGAGCTGGTGGTTTTGAAGAAAATGACTGTGTTTAATGTTCAAGCTTGAAAGGAAAACAAGGCAAGTGTGAAAAGTTTTTCTCTGCTTCATTGCCAAGATATCCAGTATTAGATGAATTTTCCGGAAAACATATGTGTGTGCTGGAAATTTGAGCTACATATGTAGCTCTTATCGAAACATAATTTCCAAAAAACTTTGACCTGAAAAGATTGATGTGAGCATGACCTGTCTTTTCACTCTCTAGAAAATCGCTCTTTGTAAGGCTGTGCCAACACTATATAGTAAAAAATAAAGAATTTACTTGAGCGGCAAAAAATTGAGAAACTCCGAAACTGCTTGCTCTTGCTATCAGAAATAACGAATCATGTGGGCTTTTTCAATTTTTTTTTCAAAAAATTCTGAAATTCGCAAATTTTGAAGTTAATTGCTCTGCTGATCGTTTTCTACACAAAAGCCTAGTTTAAACTGTTCTACTACATCGGATTGATTGGTGACTTTCCAAAGTAGGAGATCGCAAAACTGTACAGCTTCAATAAATGTGCCGATGCACTGAATGAAACTTTCAAAAAATCCGTTTCAAATCCATTTCTGATTAATGAGTTTCGATCGAAATTAGGACTGTTTAATGTTTATGTATTTGTGCTAACATGACGGTTATTCCTATCATTCAGAACTGCCAAGCTTTTATAACAGAATAAGAGCATAGCCTGGCGTTTAATGATAAAGTCTATTGAAAAGCCAGAATCCAGAGTTTCCTACCCGAGCTGAGCTTATAGTGCGTCACATAATCATTTATCATCGAATTAGCGCTGCAAAGAAGAACCGATTTCGCGCAGACAGCGCCGAAACTTACGATCGCCTCGGGATCAAGGCGGCTTACCTTGGCTACGGCCATTTATGGTATTCGACGGTGTCGTTGGTTTCGACGTGATTTATGTGATCATGCAAATCATGGATTTCGCATCCTTTCCGAAGAAGGGAACTGTTTGAAAGCTCGGATTTGATTACGGAAACTACTCTTTGCATTCAAAATAAGCAGCTCTCGGCATCATACTTTCGAATGGCAAGCATTTTTGATGATCTCGAGGGCTTCGGATATGATCCCGCATTGGATAATCGTTGTGCTTGCAATGTTTATACGAGGCATTGCGCTTTGATTTATTTTTATGACACGTGCGTGAAAAAAAATTGTCATTGAGCGCATGGATATTCCGCACGCATAAATCGCAACAAAGAAAGAATATCGGCAAATTTTTATGGACTGCTTGATGCTCATAAAAGCTTGATTGGACCAGCTGGTTGTGTCATCGAATGAATAGTTGAGAATACAGGGAGTGATATAGTGCTTTTGCCATAAAAAGTTGCTGCGAGAGTATTTAGTATCCTCTAAGTTCTAGAAGTCTGACACTTCTCAAATATTCGAAAGCTCATCAAAGTTGAGATCAAAGAAACCCTTAAACTTTTTTGTCGAGTTTTTGCGTGGAAAAATTCCAAAATAATGTAACGTGGTGGAAAAATGGGCACCTTGTAAGCTTTTATGAGGAAATTATCCCACTTCTTAAATACTTGAAAACTTTTTATCTTTGACCCTTTTCTTAGATGAGGTATACTTTAAAGAATTTTCACCAATCTGAAATGATTACAAATAAATACAAGCAGTACATATTGCGAGTGAGCGCATACCAGGCTCTCTGCTTGATATTTCAGTTTTCTCGAAATTAGAGGATCTGTCGAAGGTGAATAATGTGTGCAGCGATGATCTGTTGAGTTAAAAAAAAGTAGCATGTAGAAAAGCAGAGCACAAACAAGAATACGTCGGCTACCATCAGGACACATTAAAAATTTTTTTTTACAAAGATTAACGTTAGAGGCCAAATTAAGTTCTTCTTTGTTGCACATGCCTTCAGCCTCCCACTTGTCGCAAATATGGTAGGCGAAAGCATTGCCTCAGCAATTCTGGAATTCTCCTATACAAGTTGGAACCACTCAACTTTGAAGCTACAATTTTGGTTCACATTCAAAAATTGCATTTACGATAAGCTTCAAGACTTCGAATCTGTCCTAACTGTGTGCAAACGTCAAAGACGAGAAACGTGTGAAGTGCGAAAACGCTATGTGCAAGTTCGTTTCTATTGGAGAAAATTCAGACCATGAACGGTAAAAGTCCTAGCTTCCATGCAAATTTTATATTATGTTGAAAAGGTTTTGCAAAAAAATTCTTTGAACACCTCATTTCTTCCAAATACAGTGAATCTCTCGATATTCTTGCAAGATGAAGGAAATCATGCGCTTATTAGTACGATTACTCTTGCGATTCGAAGCAAAAACTACTATTGCCATATTGCTGCTATAAAAGCCAAGAACGAGCGCTCAATTTTCATTTCTTCATATTCGATTGAAAATAGTAAAAAAACCCTAATAACGAAATCCAGATGCATAATTATTTGTCAATCGAAAAAATTGAACATGTTGCTTGAACAGATGCGGCATGACTATCAATACGCATTTAAGAATGGGTACTAATTTGCGCATTACTCATCTATCAGACCCATGTCACAGACCAACTAGCTTTTCTTTTCCCGAAGCTCATGTCATTCCTACTGATCACCAATTATCCTGGTATTACGGTAGCGTGGGTCATCGCTTTTATAGCGTATTATGATTGACCTCACACGCATACAAGGAAATCTGGCAACAGCTGCAGTGCGATGTTCTCCGCCTTGGGCTATAATTACTGTATCGCCAACGGTGCCGAAGTCATGTCATTCGGTTTACTGGTAAGTCCATGACAATACATACGGAGGAGTAACGAAGGAAGTTGTTGTCAGTTGAAAGTTGCTAGAGAATAGCATAGCATGTTAAGTTTCCTAACGTGCTATACAAAAACTCCTTGCTATAATCATACTCATTTCAACGATAGACCCATCTCGTTATCGTAAGAGTCTCATAAAACTTGTTCAGCTCTATCCTCGTCTCTTTTAGGAAACTCTTGATGCAGTCATACACTGTGTCAGACAAAGGAAACGCCGAAGGTCGCGTAAGCCCCATGGGAAACAAAGGCAACATAATGACCTTCTCGGATATCTTCCATGTAGGAGGCTCGCCCGCTTATAAAGATATCCTACTAGCAACTGGCTATGAAAAGCTATACGTCCCCCTTTGTCAGTCACGGGAATTACGGTGCTTTGATCGTTGGCGTTTAAATCCGCTATTTTTGGTCATCACCGGGATGCCTGATTGCTCTACATTCGGTGTAAGCTGCAACTACATACAAATTTTGTCTCTATGACGGAAAGAGCCTCTGAGGTAACGTATTGGATAGTAGGATCAACATTTACAAAACTGTGTGAAACGATTTGTTTTTCCTTGCAAATATGTGGTTAAAAAAGCTAGTTTTTGTAAGGTGGGGTTAAAGCTCGCGAAAATATTGAATGCATCCCAGAAACATTTTTGAAGCGCATTACTAGGCCCAATCATCCTCTGAAAAATTAAAACGTCTTTCCCCCCTTCAAAAGTTATCCACCATTTGTGCGGTATTGTGAGCTAATCAAGATGGAGTATTTGTAGTCAATCCGCTCAACATGAAGATTACGGTAAAGGAGGAGTAGGGGCGGAGCTCCTCAAAATGGGAGGAGTCACTGCATCCCAGCGCGGCGGAAGCCACCAGCTGCTCACTGCTTCCAGCTGCAATCAGCTTACACGGTATCTCCGTCTATTCCACATATCGGATTCGTAGCCTCCATTTCCGAAATAATCTTTCGTTCTACATTTCTTGCAATATACTCGAAAAGTCCCTCCTCGCCCAACTTTGTGAACATTTGCAATATTCTAGATGCTAGTCCTGCCAAGTGACAGTGGCTACAATTCGCCATCCAATGGAATTGGACCATCGTCAGTATACTCACTATCAGAGAAATTTTCGAAACCTGAACCTGATATCAATTCAAGAATACTCCGTAAGCTGCGATTTGAGCCGCACACATGCTGGAATCCAGGTAAGTCGTTTCATTTCCTTGCCACAGTGAAGTCTTTTTTGGGCTCTAGGAGTGACAAGCTTTTCACTCTTTTTCTCTATCCTAAGAAAAAAATGTTTTCTTGCATGTTTAAAAATGTTTCTAGTGTTTTTTTATCGAGCAAATTTGTTTCATGGTCGTGTGAAAGCCAAAAAATGTTTGCATTTTGCCTTTGTGAACAACCTTCGAAGTATTTTTTCATTCAGGGTACTTCACTCCTTCTAAATCAAGCAAGCGCTCACGAGAAATCGCATGGCGACTCATTGAGATGTGTGATTCCTTCGAAAAGGAGTTCGCAAAGACCAATGATTTAGTAGAGGTTTGTTTTCAATTCTGTTATGAGCTTTTTTAAATCCATTTCCTTGTTCATTCAATTGCTCTCAGAACAACAAATCTCATTTGATTTATACGATTTCAGAATCTCACATGGACAGCCTCAATATTTCGACTAATCGGATTCTGATTAACTATGCAACAATCTTCTGCCTGTGATCTCCTCATCATAGTCTCCAATAAGCTTCCAATAAAATTTTATTTGAGTAAGTAAATGCACTGATTCTTCTGTGAGTTGCAAAGTCTAGCCTATGATAAAAACAATGCTGTTCAGTGATTAAGCGATCGAACTAATTCAGTGTGTGGTTATACGGAATAACAAAGATATTCATGAAATCAGTACTACAAGTAGTAAATCTGCGAGCAAGTGAATCCAATGAAATTGGAGCTGGAACATAATAATGAATCTAATGCTTATAACAATGAAAATATGGGAGAGAAAAAAAACGCAATTAAACGTAAAGAAAAAGAAAACAGAGAAAAATTTTGAATGTGCTTATAAAAATTTCGTAAACTTGCTAGCTATTTGTGCATTGGCGGCAACAGTCATACTGTCGGGTACGCCCTGCCGTGACCTACATATGGAGCAACTTCGCAGATTCTAGAGGACTTCCGGAATTTTTCAAAAGTTTACGAAAATTTAAGGAAAACTATCCGCCAACCTAATAGATTCCACAACTTCAAACGTTCCTCAATCTGTGAATCTTTGTAAACACCCAGCTCTTTGCTAATAACCGTTGAAACCTCTGAAACCAATCCACTCATCCCTAAATCCCCTTATTAGCCCTGGGTTGCTTACCCAATGATTGCACTATGCGCACTTCCTGCCTAATTGACAACCGTCACTTGCACATTGTCAAGAAGCTTGTTGTCATTAGCTAAGGAATTATGAGGGGCACAAAGCATGGAAGTGACGTTCGATCTTCCAAATCTTTGAAACAAACTCTGGAAATCCCCAAAACTTTCAAAACAAACAAGTGCTACCTCCAAAGATTTCTCTAGATATCACCATTTGAAAGTGAGTAGGTGGTATAGGTAACAGAACAACAGCTTTGCCAAGATTATTGAAGAACTCCTTCCTATCTCGCATCCTCAAACGCAAAATGCGCGTGATTTATAGAGGTTCACAGAATGCTGAATGTCTGCATATGCTCACTAATTGACACGTGTTGCGCAGGTGCTAAATGACATTGACAGCCGTCAGGATTTACAGCTTCACGCATCGAATTTCCATGTCGTCTCAATTACGGTGGTTAGGAGTGATGATGAACGGAGCATAATACGACTGAGGCATAAAGTTGTACGGCTTTGATCGGGCTTATGCTGAAAGATGCTGCAATTACTGATAACATTTTACACAAGGAGGGAATGAGACTCTGCTTCCTCTCTGTATGTTGTCTATCAACTCCCAGATATCGTTTATACTGTACCGCTTGAAAATGGCAGCAACAATGTCAATGTAATGTAATAGAAAGAAGGAGGAGTTTGAAAATAATGCCATTTTCTTGAATTTATTTCGCTTCTCACAAGGTGATTTTTATCGTATGTCTGCGGTTTTTGCAAAAGCTGTGAAAAGCGAAATAAACATCGATTTAGCAAGTTAATTCATCTAGTAGGCTGAAGTTGCCAACGGCAAGGAACTTACTGAACGTGTATTTTATTAGCTTGTGTAATATGTTCTGTCTCCACAGTGTTTTGCCCCATGTTTTGCAAAATATATATGCATTTGAAGGCTCTAAGCTTGCTCTACCATAATACTCGATTCAGTTTCCTACATCAGGAGAATTTGAAAAGTTCTCAGCATCAGATTTGAACCAAAGCGGAAAAACACTTTCGACAACTACTCTAGGTCGCTCCCCGCTTAGGTCAGAATGCTTACAAAACAGCTCAAAAAATTTGCTGCTCGTAAACAAAGAATGTTAGGACTTTTGCAGAGAAGTTTCGAAAAAATTCTCGTAAATTCAAAAAAATCTTCATTTTCAACATCTCTTCAATGTTGACGTTAAGCATTCGAAGGCAGTCCTGAGAAAAAGCGGTTGATGGATAATCCGGAAAAGACAGAATAGATGGTCTATGGCTATAAATTAAACGGATTCCTAAGTTAATTATTCAAGAAATCGATGTTAGCGGGCTAGACAGCTTAGGCACGGGAGAGGATGAACATCGCCGCAGCAAAGTCTTTCTTCGCCGAGTTTCGAAAAAAAGGCATTGGAAAGTCGTTATATGAGAGGGAGCAGGCACAATTAGTGACAATTCAAGCATGAGGGTCCAGTGAAATTGTTTTGTTTGCTGTCAAGCTTGGTGAGTAAAAATTACCAATGGAAAACGGAAAAATTTGGAGAGAAAATAAATGTCGAAAATAGATTTTTTGCCCTTTCGGATTTTTTCTTTTGATGCCGAAAATCTTTTTCAAAATTCAGCTAATTTGGGGGATGACGCATATGATTTTGCAGAGCAGACTTACAGCTTTCAGAAGCATATGCGCTTTATTTCAGAAAAGTAGCATCATTGACAAAAAATCAAAAGAAAAAATGAGACAAAATATATTACACAACCTAATCATTCCATTTTGCTGTGCTGTCCATGATCTGATGACTAGGAGGGAGTTAACGATTTGACACTATGGTATTCAATATCGCATTACGTCACCGTGCTATATGAACCACTTCGAAAATCTCTTGAATAATACATGCCTGCACTGGTGCCAGCTCATTCAGCGAGTAAGGTATGAGCCAACGCAATTTGGTATAACTCGGGTTGGATTGCCTTTGTCCTGTGTTCGAGCAAAAGTCTACATAATGTGGTTTTCGTAGAGCAAGGGTCCTTCCTTGTTGATTAGCGACAGAAAAAAAAATCCGGAAACGAAGAAATGACAAAGTGGAATACGATAGTCACAAAATTTAGAGCGGTAACGAAATTTCCGCGTTTACGTGCCCCATCCTCTTCTAAAATGGACAGTGTGGCTCTGCTAACGCTGTATATCCTCAAGAAATTAACAGTAAGTCCAGATCTCAAATTATTGGCAACATCATCATTAACTGTCATCATTGTCAGTCTACTTCGATTGATGAGAATAAGTGAGCTGTTGAACGAATTGAATGTAATACATCTGAGTGAAAATGTGGATATATTGTTTTTGCGAATTTGCTTGAGTTACAGATAAGTAAAAATATAATCAACAGGTGTCTTGGTAAGCTACCAGTCTGTACACTCCCTTAGGCAAACAATGTGAGCTAATGTTGGGATGGGAGGTGATTACCCATGGCGACTTGAGGTCATTACTCGAATGATTTGTTTGTTTAGGTGTGATGACTTATGTGGACAACGTCAACATTTTATAAGCTGGAAATGATGGAATATGAGTCAATGATTCCAGGATAACATAAGTTGCTGAAAAGGGTAATATGCTTGAGAAATAGTTTCAAAGCTGATTTTAGCAAGGCTATGCTCAACGTTCCCCCTTGACAATAGCTTTTGTCAAGCTGGTTTCTTGCTTGCCCGTTCTGAGGCATCCTAGCGTATCATCATTGTTCATCGGATTAGTTCAGCAAACAAATGCCGAAGCTGTCATTTGGACAATATGGTCATCTAGGGACCAGTAAATTTGCCCTCTTGAAATGCACGAGATTTTGACGTCAGTATCTCATTATTAACCCGTAAGACTAGGCGCTTGGAGGGAAGGACAAGGGAACGATGAATAGTTCGCTCGTTGAGCAATTAGCATAGTGTGATCATGATTGATGGCGGTAGCTTTCAAGTATTCTACCAATAGAGATAATGAAGTGCGTTAAGACAATTCAATGGCAGTTCCAAGACAGCTTAGAGTCAATATTTTCAAGTTTTGTGAGGCGACGTCAGGGTTCTATGACTCTCATCTGGAATACTTTGACTTGAAGCTGACTTAAAGACTTCCCAAGGGTTTTGTGGAAATTTTCCGACGTCACCCGACGAAGGCCCCCACAGCCCTTCGGGACTTTTCAAGAATTTATTGAGATTCTCCGCTGGAACTTCTTTCTTTTGAAGCTTATCCTAAAAAGAATGATTTGAATGCCCGAGAGTGCAGTGGCAAACCTAACCATGTTTTCTCATTTACCAGTAAGGTTGAAGAAGAACTGTACATGTTTTCGTTTATATTGATTCGTAAATACGTAGACTTTAGAGAAAAATTTATGCGTTTCTAGTTGAATGGAATGAAACGGTGCTAAACGCATACAACACATTTTTCATTGCAAACGCATACTGAAAGCAGACAGGTTAGTCATTTCTGAATTGATATGCGCGTCACAACAAAGATATTTCACAAGCTCAGCTGTTGCTGTCTTTTCTCAAGAATTTTTATTTGATGTTTTCGCTTCCTAAGCTTAGGTAATTCAAAACACTAGCATATTTATTTAACACCCACTGCATCACTAAAACGGCCTTTACTAATTTCCTAGGAATCATGAGCGTATTGCGAATTTGCACATTATGTTACAAATGACTCGATATGCCACACTTATCATTAGAGATTTTAGAGTGTTAGCATTCGAGGAAGTAAGAGCAATTCAGCTGGTTCCCATCTTCGTCAGAAAGAAGCCAAAACCTTCGCAAAACCGGAGCCAGTTTTTTCATTCCTTAAAAAGCTGAATAATCTAATTACGTTTCAGCGGGGGGCTACAGTCATCATATTGTGTCATAGCTTCAACTGCAGTACGAATACACAGGATGTCCCAAAATGTGCCGTCTTCTTGATTATTAATAACTCTCTGGTTATGAAGTCTTTTAGAGTAGCTCTAGGTATCGTTTTGTAGAGGTGGTTTCAGCTTAGATTTACATTGTAAAGCGAATCTTCCACCTCCCTTCGCTATTGTAGGATTATGGTAGGAACCTTGAAGTCGTTTTGAGACATGGAGGCTCATTTTTGCTCAGAAAAGAAACAAAGCGGCCCGAAAACCCTCACAGTAGGCAGCAGCTGACTCCAAATATAAAGTCTTTGTCTCATAACAATGCTTTCATTTGAAAAGCTTCACAATATTGGGTAAAGTTGGGTATCGAACTCGGCGTCCATGAAGAACCTATTGCACAAGTTTTTAGATTCTTCGGAATAACTTGAAATGGCAGCTTTTTCAAAGTGATGCACATTCCGAAAGTTTCTACCGTAATCCTACAGTAACGAAGAG